GCATCTTTCTCATGAAAATAGTCCGGTCTGTCTTAGCATGAACCTATAATGTAATTTCTGTGAACAAATTCTGTATTCGAAAAATTAAATGACATTTTATTATAAACCCCCAGCAGAACTACATCTAAATGTATAAAGCTGATGTGTATATAAAACTAGAACACAAAGTTCTCTTTAGAAATAATTCCCTTTGGGAACTGTACCTGACAATGTTTAATGGCCATAGATGTCTGGATAATGCTTTTTAATCATAACCTGGCTATCACAGAAATGATTTTTGAAGCATAAAATAAAGTGTGCCTGTATGTACTTGAATATTTTGATTTTTAGTATTCAAACATTATCATACCCATGATATTCTCTTTGATGTCAGGAGATGGCGCTGTGGGTTTTAAATCTCAGAGCTAACAATTTCAAAGCCCAGCTAAATCTTTAGTTTTCCTATTTCTGGTCAAACCCTAAAAGTATCTATCATCTTTGTTCGAATTACTTTAAACATTTTTTCCCGAGTGTTTTCTAACATCATGAAGATAAGATTGCAGGGGCGAGACTCCTGTAAGGACAAAGAAGTCTATTGTTACCAGTCGCCACGGAAGACAGCCACATTTTATGTCTAAAGTAAGAAAGGCAACAGGGAACTCTTCATAAGCTCTTTCCACTAGTTCTCCGTTTATTTCAGCCACGTAGCTTAGGTCGCCCTTTGAGTTTCAGCAGTGATAAGCAGGCACCTTATTTCTGTCCCTTTACACAGACTACCTGACCTTGAAAGTCACCGGTATTGGGAACTTCCCTTCAGCGGGCTCGGGCCGGTTTGTGTGGATACTGGAAACAGCTTTTGCACGGGGAGGATTTCTGTCCGTATCGATTCGAACTGTCAAAGAATACTAAACAGAAGCCTCCTTTCTTTAAAACAGACTAAGGAGAAGAACTCCGTGGGTAGAGTTTGTAGCAAATCCCAAGGTCGAAATCTTGGGAACTGGGAAGCCCAAGGCAATACGAAGTTTGAGCCCCTTGGAGTGCTGCCGGAACTGTTTCAGCTCCGACCTCTGTCTTGGTCCCTGCTTTCTCTCTGTTAGTTCTCTTCAACCCGGAAAAGTGCTAGGATATTCGCAGACCCCCACCTCTCCAGAGAGCCTTGAAGGAAGCGAAACAAATACTGGTGGCAAAAGGATGCGGGAGGAACTTGGGCACTTTGATGGACTTGACTCTGTGCCATTGAGATCTCAAGGGACCAGGGGGCGGAGTGAGCGTTTAGCCGACCCAAGCCTAACCAAACGCCACAGGGTAGAAGAAGCAAAATGCAACTTCAAGGTCAAGGTGTCTCTTCCTGGGGCTGGAGGACGGCCCAGAGAGCCTTGGCCTAGAGGGATGGGGTGGCTCGGGCTTCACGGCATTGGAATTGTCAGTGCAGGAGCAGTTTAGCAGACAGGGTCCCTGGGGACTGGGCAGTCGCTGCCAGAGAGGACCTTTAGAGCGGGGAGGCACACCACTCCCCTCAGTCTGTCACATTATCCCCACAGCTCTTAGAGAATTCACTTCCCCCTCAGAGTGGCTCCCTAGCTAAAGTTTATGTTATTTTTGCTCAACTTTGTTTTTATTTTCCAAAGTGTTCTGAAATAGATAAATCTGAAACACGCAGACAGCTCAGAGCCAGACTTCTCCTGGCTGTTTAATTTAGGTAAGTCATAAAGTTATCTGAGATGCAGAAATGCTACAGCGAAATCCCTACCACCACCCCCACCACCACCCCCACTTTAAAGTAGGGTGAGTTCCATTATGATTCTGCCTGAGCTATTTTCAAATCCAAACAAATATTAGAATCATCTCTAAGAAATATAAGTTTGACCTACACATTACTCAGGTCTGCAACTCCGCCCTCTGATTCCAATATGGTGATGCTTGCTGAATATTATAGACGCTTTTCGGGGCTTTCGGAGTGTTTCCTCCAACAATAATAAAATTTGTTCATCTTTAAAAGAGCTCTTTGATGTGTATACTTTTGAAATCCAGCGCTCAGTCGAAAATGCACCCCTTTTTGAATCTGTTGGTCAACGACCTTCTTCATGGAGGCAACGAACAGCTCGGACCCCACGAACTATTTTTGCTTGAGTATCCCTAGCTGTCCCACCCTTCCGCTGGTGCTGGCCAAAGGACCTGTCCCCTGGGTCTCTGGTATCACAAACCCCCTTCCGCTAAACTGTGCGGAGCAGAGCGGTGTGGAGGGAAGGTTTCTATAGATGCTTCAGGATCCAGGGGGAGGGAGGGAAATCAAGGCTGAGTACGGGGATCACGCCCTGGGTTGGTGCCCGACCTCACTCTCCTTAGAAGAGAGTTCTGGTTTGGACTTTCTGTTCAATTTTGCAACTTGCGCGTTGCTTCATGAGCCGCGGCCTTTTCTCTAACAGCTCCAGCAGGATCAAAGTTTAAGATTTCTAGAATTCCCGCGGCCTGAAGACTCTGACAGAGCTGCTGACATCACTCTCGGCTGGGCCGGGAGCTAGGCGGCCTGATTCTACCCAAAATGAAAGGAAGTTGAGGCAGTGACTTGTGATTGGTGATGATTAAACCAGGTAACAAGACGTCGGGCAGATGTGTTTTCATTGCCCTGTAAGATAAATGCAGTGTTAAGTGCCTGACAACTTCCCAGAAGCAATCAGCAAAAGTTTACGAGTGCATAAACCTGGAAGACCATTCCCCGAAGCTGCTTATAGCGCCCGCATTTAAAGCTCCCATAAATTCTCTGGCCATTTCCCCAGCACAACTTTCCGGGCGACTGTTAAACAGCCACCTCCTTTGGGGAGGCTGGGGGGATTTTCTCTAATCTCAAAAGAGGTGAGCCGCTAGTACCTAGGGCAGTAAAGCTGCGCAAAACTTTCCTGTAGAACTTATGATGTTGACTGGCACAGAGGTGGGACTAGGGAACAGAGGAGATTGTAACCTCACACAATGAGTAATTGGATACCTATAAAAAGAACCAGGATTTGCTGAGGTCTGGCTATGAGGCTGGTGGCATCTTTGCCACTGATCTGCCTGATTTTTGGTTTTGATTGTATTTTAATCACCCTGTCCTTCCTGGATGCCCTCCCAAGAAGACACCAACAGCTAAGTTAAGAGCTTTTCTCAAACTGGTACTTGCTACATCCTATGCCTTTTAAATATCTTCATCAGATCCCCGGAAGGAATCCAGGGACCCTGAGAACACAAGGAAAACATACTGGAGAACGAAGTCAGACTTTAGAGAAGACTTACAGTCACTCTGCCCTGAACCACTAAGGCTCTAGCCTCCACCCTTGTATTTAGCAGCCTGGCATCAGACTAACACAACCTACCTGTGTTTGTAGAGATCGTTCTTTTATGATCCCTATGAAAACAAGACTGCTAACTGCCAAACAATAATACTAGCGTGTCTTTAGCTTCCTAAAGGGACAGGTTAACAGCTGCTAGGAACAGAAGAGTGAAAGAGGGGACTGCAAGTTGCAGGAGATTGCATACCTTACACCAAAGAAGCTTTGGTCCACAGCTATACAAGTAGGTGGGCAGGCTCCAGTGTCGTGTAATGGCCAGGCCAAGATCCCGGGCAGTAGATCTTCAGGCAGTCTGCTTGCTGGATCTGAGTCTTTGGGTTCCAACACCGCTGAAGGAACACCAGTAAGGGACGACCTGGGAGTGTCCCTCTCCCTTAGAGGCTGTATCTCAGGCTATTGGACTAGTAGAGCTAGACTCCTTTCCACACTTTCAAGGTGACAACGCAGGCATTTCGGTGTCGCCCTCAAGCTTCCTGTCTGAAATAAGGTGCCCAACTGTTCTGATATTACCATTCAGAAACAGGTTCTGTGGTGAACCTCATTTGTGAATCTATTACAGAGATTAATAGATTATTTCTCCCTTTTCAACTAATTCTCAGTGGGGAAATTTAACCATATGGTAAGGAGAGAATTAGAATTTCATCACATTAGAGGAAAATATAATGAAAAGAGTCCAACACCTGGGGCCAACTCTGAAAGCCACAATTAAAAGGTTTTTTTTTTTTATGAAACCAGAGAAGCCACAAACTACACAGCCTTCCGTAATTCTGCCACAAGAAAGAGACTTATTGGAAATGTTGGGGAATATTGGTGTTACTTATGTTATAAAAATGAAAACCAGTCGCTAAATACCATGTGCTTCGATAGACTGAACTCAGACGCGCGAGGACCGCGTGTACTGTCCCCATCCGGAGAGCACTTGTTTTCATAATTCTGCCCTGAACTAACCCTCTAGGAACAGCCCAGATGGATCCAGCTGTCCCCAAAAGGCTTCTGAGCAGCAGCGGTTACGTTTATGGCTAAACGATTATGCACGTATGCCCCCACTTGGTGTGTGAGCGGATTCGTCTCCGTGTTCACTCTTGCGAAGCAACTGGATTTAAATCTTGAGGAAAGTTTGAGACTAGTTTCTTTCTGTTCGTGAAGCAGTGCGCTTCTGTCCCCAACCATCTTATCAGTGTGGGGTGGGGGGGGAAGGCGCCAAAGCCTCCCCCACCCCACCCAGTTCCAGTTTTAAATCAAATGGGCTGTGTGAGCAACTTGACCATCCTTTTGGTGCTTTATTTTTTTTTTCTCATCTGTGTAGGAAAAGGCCGATGGAGAGGTGTGGGGGAAAGCCGTGGTGGGGAGGAAATCCTAACATACTAGCTGAAAATCTAGAGTAAACTCAGAGCAGGCCAGCAGGGACACCACCACCCCCCTCGCCCCCAGGTCCCATCTCCAAATGCAGACCATGCTATGAACAGGATGGAATGTAATTCTCTCCTCTGAGGGTAACTGCGCAAGCTGAGACAGTAGTGGCAAGTGAAGGGTAGTGGGGGGTGGGGCGCAGTGGGGGTGGGTGGGGGAGTCTGCTTTCCACCGGACTCCCAGCCTTTACCGCAGTTCTACAATTTGCTGAAGGAGCAAAGAACATCCTCGGCTCTAAGTAGGGCTTTTAGTGTGCTCATTGATGAGTGAAAGTCGCCACACATGTCAAGCTAAAGGCAGTTGTTGGGTTACTAACAGGACCCAGCGCCTTGCAAACATATGCGCTAAGCTGTGTATACAGATGGCAGGCAGAATAATGGAGCAGGCGCCTTTTATAAAGCTCTGGCTGCTGCCTGTCTTCAGACCTGGGAAATGAAACTATTCAGACTCGCGGCCAGATAGCGCCTGCGATTGTTTGTTACCGTTTTAATCCTATTAATTAAAACGTTAACCTGATTGGGTAGAAAGCGCTGTCCCAACAGGCGAGTCTTCTTCATAATAACCTACTCAGAGATAATGATGTAAAAGACTCCCCCGTCTGTGGCGGCGGCTGGTTGATGGGTCCGGAAATCTCTTGAAGGTGAATCCAAGCAAGATAAACGGTGCGGAGAGGAGGCGCGGGGCTGGACTCAGAGCGGCGCGAGGCGGCGGCAGCGGCTCCACTCCCTCCGCGACCACCCTCCCACCATGAGGGGCCGCGGCCCATGGTGAGCCCCAGCAGCCAGCACCGTCGGCTGGAGACGAAGAAAAAGAAGAAGAGGAGGAGGCGAGCGCGGGGGAAGGCGAAAAAGAAAAAGAAAGAAGGGGACAGGGCTGCGGGCAGCGAGGGGACCGACGCGCGCAGCAGCTCCGGAGCCCGGCTGGCGCGCGTCTGTGCGACCGCCTGACTCCCAAGCCCAGGCGGTGGCCAGCCCGGGCTGCGCGGCGGGTCATGGCAATGGAGCGCGGGCTGCACCTCGGCGCGGCGACCGCGAGTGACGACGACCTCTTCCTGCACAAGAGCCTGGGCGCCTCCACCGCCAAGCGCCTGGAGGCGGCTTTCCGCTCCACGCCCCCAGGCATGGACGTGTCCCTGGCGCCGCCGCCTCGCGAACGCCCGGCGTCCTCGTCCTCGTCGCCCCTAGGCTGCTTCGAGCCGGCTGACCCCGAAGGGGCCGGGCTGCTGTTGCCGCCGCCCGGAGGAGGAGGCAGCGCGGGCGGCGGCGGCGGCGGGGTGAGTGTCCCTGGGCTGCTCGTGGGCTCAGCGGGCGTGGGGGGCGACCCGAGCCTGAACAGCCTGCCGGCAGGGGCTGCCCTGTGCCTCAAGTACGGCGAGAGCGCGAGCCGCGGCTCGGTGGCCGAGAGCAGCGGCGGCGAGCAGAGCCCCGACGACGACAGCGACAGCCGCTGCGAGCTGGTGCTGCGAGCCGGGGGCGCCGACCCGCGGGCATCCCCGGGAGCGGGGGGCGGCGGCGCCAAGGTGGTGGAGGGCTGCTCCAACGCCCACCTGCACGGCGGCGCGGGCCTCCCCCCGGGGGGCCCTACGGGTGGCGGCGGCGGAAACGTCGGCGGCGGTGGCGGCGGCAGCAGTAGCAAGAAATCCAAAGAGCAAAAGGCGCTGCGCCTCAATATCAACGCCCGCGAGCGCCGGAGGATGCACGACCTGAACGATGCTCTGGACGAGCTGCGCGCGGTCATCCCTTACGCGCACAGCCCTTCGGTGCGGAAGCTCTCCAAGATCGCTACCCTGCTCCTCGCCAAGAACTACATCCTCATGCAGGCTCAGGCCCTGGAGGAGATGCGGCGCCTAGTCGCCTACCTCAACCAAGGCCAGGCCATCTCAGCCGCCTCTCTGCCCAGCTCAGCGGCCGCTGCAGCGGCGGCCGCTGCCTTGCACCCTGCGCTTGGCGCCTATGAGCAGGCGGCCGGCTACCCGTTCAGCGCCGGGCTACCCCCGGCTGCCTCCTGCCCCGAAAAGTGCGCCCTATTCAACAGCGTCTCTTCCAGCCTCTGCAAACAGTGCACGGAGAAGCCTTAAACATTCCCTCCCTCGGAAGCCTCGAGACCGACCCCAAAGCTAGAGGAAAGCGAGATGCTGCTCCCCACCCCTTTTATTTTGTTCCTCTCCTAGTTGCGAAACACTGGCAGGGCAAACAAAGCAGAGGCAGGAACTGAGCAGTAACTGAGACAAACCGGACTTTCAGCCTTGGCTCGGCCCCGAATCTCGGTCTTTGGGGTGGGGAGGGAGGGGAGAGGGATGTTGAGTAGGGATGGAGTGCGGATGTCTCTTTTTCCCTCAGAAAAGTGGCAACGTTGGTGGTAACCTAGACTTCGAGGAAGTGCAGTCTTCCTTGAAGGTTAAAAAATACTTTGAAAACTAGTAGTGCTTGTTTATTAGACGTGAAAAGTATTGAATGGCAAAATACTAATCCTACTAATAGCTGAGAATTTGGCTAGTACTGAAGGGGAGAGGAGTCCCGGGTTTAAAGGTGTGAAAGGGACAGGATATTCATTCAGACAAATCAGAAAGGGCACTTGAAAATAACTTCTGATTCTGAGCCAGGAGAAAAACTTGAAATGCAGGCTTAACTGAAGGGGGAAAGCAGAGAGAGAGAGAGAGAGAGAGAGAGAGAGACACGTTGCTATAAAGGACTTGTATTTTTTATCGTCTCTGAACTTAAAAATCCTGTGAAAATGCTCAAAGTTTTGGTGAGAGTGATATAAAAAGCAGGCTGTGGCTGAAAGAATTGCTTTTAAAATATTTATGTGCACCTTGTTACTTTTTACTCTGCAATGATGTATTAACAATTCATGGTATTTATTTGTTATTCTTCAATGATCCACATCATCAGTATTTATTACGTGTTAAGGTTTTGGGTCTTATGTGAAGATTTTTTTCTTGATGCTTCTAAAATTCTGTTTTATATATTAACTTACACTGTGTGCCAAGTGTTGAAAGGTTTATTGCCAACAAGTAAGAAGAGAAATATTGATGTATTTGAGCTGCTTAGGTTTTTAAAAAGTCACCTGGATATTTTCAGTTGCATCATCCCTGTGTTTAAATTGAGCTTTAATAAATTGCTTCAGTCCAAAAATTACAGGAAAGGTGTATTCTTAATTAATGAATGAATTGATTTCTTTTTCAAAAGGGGATCTATTTGCATTCCAAAAGGGAAAAATCACAGCAATAGATCTTATAAGTAAGAACATGCTGGGCAAATATATTTTCCAGGTTGTGCCGTGCATTTTAAAAGGTCTAATTTAATTGCTTTTACTATAGATGTACATATATAAGTTATTATAACTGTGAAGACTTATTATGTTAAAAGACTGCTTTGATTTGCTTATGGTGTGAAATCATTTGTTATTTTTCTAAAAAAAATATAAAACTTTAAATGAAATGACATAAAGCTAAGGAAGAGCAAGAAGCTGTGTACCCAAAGCAAGCTTTCAGTTTAGTTTGCATGGCTAGCTGCCTGCCTTTTGTCCTATGAAAAATCCAGAAAAACCTCTTAAGAAATGGGGTCTTGCTGTTCTCCACTCCTTACAGATAATACAAATTCAGTTTGTCAGGTTGGATGATGATTTCAGAGCTGTGATGGATCTGTCGGTGGGGTTTGGCTGTATAAAGAATTAAATATATATATATATCTATTAAATAGGTCAAGCAGACTATGACAGTTATGTACGACCATTTGTATGTGTATCTATGTCAGAAAGAATCTTTATTAAAATATTTTGATCAAACATTTTATTATGCTGTGCTTTGTAGAAGGAGACACCACCTCTCTCCTGCGTTATTGTTGCCTGAAAAGTGACAGAAAAGGAAACGTGTTTCCAAAAGTTTTGTCAGTGCTGGCCAGTTATGAGTAGCCCTAGATCACATGCTTACTAAAAGGACAACTGGGATTCCATGGAAGCAGAGGTGAGAGGGGTCAGTCGTGGGACCCAGGACAGGCCCAGAGAGTTCCTGATACTGGCAAGAATGTACAAAGCCAGACTCTCCCGGAAGTCTGTCCCGCAGGTATAGTATCTAGGCCATGGTAGGGCCTGCCAAAGGGAGTAAACTTTCTTAAAGGCATTTTAATCAAAAGTTCTGCCTCCAAAGGCTTGAAGACCAGGGGAAAAGATGGATTTGGATTCTCTGGACACCAGCTTTATTGTGGCTTCATTCTACTTTCCTGTGGCAAAAGAGTCAGCTTGGTTGAATTACCTAAGTGTAAGTAATGTCCATAGAGACTTCCAGAGTTTATTCGGTTGCCTGTTAATGAGATGTTAGTGTTTGAATTGGATTAGGCATGGATTCTACTAAGATATGATATGTTTGCTTGTATTCAGGCCTTTGCTCTTTAGTGTGGAAGATCTAAATTTGTACCACATCATAGAGATGGGGGTGCTGATGTGGAGGTATGAAGGTACAGAGATTCCACTGGACCTGGTTGCCTAAATGCATTTGTGTGTGGGTTCTGTGCATCATCAGCCCATAAAGATATCCCTAAATGCCATCAAACTTGGGGAGGGGGGGCTAAGGAAGGATGTTTTCTTCTCCACTTGCTATCAAAGAAGATTAATCAGAACCTGTAACTTTTTAGACAACATAAGAGCAAAAGGCCTTGAAAGTCAAGCCCTCCCAGTCAAGGGGGGGGGTAGACAGGAGGAAGGGACCAGGGTAGCCCCCAGGCAGGAGAAGACTGTCTCTCAGCATTTACCAGACAAAGCCTGGGTGCGTCTAATTATGATTATTAAAACAATTTCCATGACGATGTCTAATATTATGTTAATTTGAAAACAACTGTGTATGAAAACTGTCGACTATAATACCTAAATTCATTTAATGAAACACATCGTTAAGGCAATTAAACCTCCTGGATGTGATTAAGAAACATAATTACGACACTGTTCTGCACCATAATTGGGTGTCTTTAATCAAGGGGAAAAGTGATCAGCAACGCAGCCATTAGTTTGTATTGTTCTGGTCCTGCTGTCCATCATTCTGATTAGGAATTAGCCACAGCCACCACTAGTCAGGGTTTTTTTCCCCCTTTTGCATATTAACATTGTAGGGAACACATTTGCTGCAAGATTTACTTCTTAGTATTTTACATTATTAAGAAGGCCTCCTTGAAATACTTACGCTACAACCTTTGCACTGTGCACCCACTATCAGAAATTGGACAGAATAACAAACCTTGAACTTCAGGAAGGAGAAATCCTGATTCTCCCATCACCCTGGAATCACCCAGGCTCTGAGTGAGTCCGGAAGAGAACTCAAGTGCAAGCGGAAGAGAACGGAGAGGAGATTGACAGAAAATGTCACACAGGGTCACCTGAATGCATCAGGGACAATGATATTCATTTTCACTTTAATATTTTCTTTCCAGACCTTCTTCCAGCAAGTGCTTTTAGGGAACCCAGGATGTCAAAAGAAAAAGCAGAGAAACTGCAGATTTACTTAGGTGTCCCTCTTTGCCTCAACTTCAACCCCTCCATAGTGTCTCCAGCACCTGCTGGGGAAGTGCTCTGCCTCTCAACACCCCCACCTCAGGCCACTCTTCTTCTGAGTCCTATTTTGTACTTGCTCTGGAGAATTAGCCCCTTCACTGTTGCACCATAGTTTCTGTCCAGGTAGGACACCTGCATGAGAACTGAAGGCTGGGCACCAGGCCTTCAGAGTGCACTTATCCAGGTGTCCTAAAAGTGTGGGCATGTGTCAGCCAATAGTGTTTCATGCAGGAGCTCACTGGGGTGTCCACCAGACCTCAGGGGCCTTTGTCAGGAGTAGCCTTCCAGCAGGTCCTCAGGGGACCGAGGGTGGACACCTGAGAACAGGAGCCCCAAGTGGCCTCTAAGGCTCACTTGAATTCTCGCAGGAGTTCACCCTGACCCCTGACATTTGCTTCAACTCTCCTTACTGAATATCTTGGAAAAGTCACCTCTCCTTCCTCCTCCATGAGGTGGGTAGATTTCTGTGCCTGTGGGGTGCTGAACACAACACAACACACACACAAACAACACACACACAGAGGCACACACACAGACAAAAGACACAGGCACACACACAGACATACACATACACACACACGCAGAGACACACATACAGACGCAGGCACACATACACATGCAGAGATACACATACAGACACAGGCATATTCACAGACACACACACACGTAGATACACACACACATACACAGGCACACACTGCATTGCTCTTTTTTCCTCCTTCTCCACTCTCCAGTTGAGCAACCCTTCTAAGATTTTGTGTTGTACAGGGATTTTTCTTCCTGTAATGACACTCATTTCCTACTATCAACCCACAAACCACTAGAGAAAACCTAGGCCCTCTGAATTTCCTTTCCCATGCACCTTTGGCAAGCTGCACCTGAACCAAATCCTTCCGCCCTTTCCACCTGCCTATGGACCTGACCTGGCAAGAGAGGTAGTGATGGTTGCAATGTAATGACTTATGAAAGATATAATCATGTGTTAAATTGAATCCTCCGTTTAACTGTTAATGGTGTGCTCTGGGCACATTTACGTATTAAATGCTATGGTAACTAATCACCACTAGGAAAAAAGATAATACACTTCCCAGACTTTGAAAAATAATGATGAGAGTTCCGTCTTGCTAGCAGCACATTGTGGCAACTCTGCCTGGCTGAGCGAGGTCTGCCTGTTTTCCAGAAATGAGGGAGGTAAAGGATCCTGCTTGGGGAGGCTTCCAAGCTTCCTCTTCCAACCTTCAGTGAAAAAGGGATTCAGCCTTAGGAGGAAGGGTGGTACAGGGAGGGAAGAACTTAATGACACCTCTACACAAAATGAAATCACAAAACCTACGCAGCAGAAACACAGATGAGCTTTCTTTCAACCAAAATGCAGATCAGACGAAAATCATGCACTGTCAAGGGATTTTACATCAATTTATAATTTTGTTGTTTTGAGGGCAGAAGAAATAATTGAGTCTGTCTCCTGCAATCTATGCCTGCCTTTGTAACTGCTGTGCCTCTGGATTGGCCAAGCCAATGAATTTCAGACTGATTTAAACTCTGCTTTTAAGCCAAACAAACATAGACACAGAACGAAGGAAAATGAGGAAGTAGTAATGTCAGTTTTTGAAGTACAAGCAACTTTTAGGATGAGAGTTATTTTTCTCTCAAGCAGGTCTTTGGTTCTTCTGGTCAACTGTATTCTGCAGGCTGCAGAATGCGCAGGATAAACAGCAGTCTGGTCCAGCCCAGGTCGGAGGCAAACCCTAGTGTTTGTCACCTAACCTCAGCCTGTGCAAGCAGAAGGCTGTGCAATGCTTGCTGGTGGAGAAACCCAAACCGCACAGCGATGTGAGCAATCACAGAGCTGTTCTCACTCTGCACCCGGTGACAGGGTGGCTATCCCTGGCCGCTGAGTCACCATTCTCCCCTGCTTCCCAAAGACTGGCATTTCCTGGCCCTCCCTCAGGCCAGCTGTGGTCCAACCCCCAAGTTTCTAGGGAAACAAAGAGAACTTAAGGCGCTCTTCCCAGGTGTTGCCAGATCCGGATGCCCCCTGCGTCTCAAGTTTCAGGCTCTTCCTTTAAAGGAGCACCTTCTGCAGCTTAGTCAACCCCAGTTGTTTTGGGAACTTGCCCCACTTTTAAATCTGGAGGAGCTTTTACTTCCTTATAGGGAAGGGAAACTCTTCTTTCCCCCTTCCCCTTTCTGCAGATTTGTGTGGAATCAATCCTCTCACTTTTTTTGAATTAGTGGTATTGTCCTTAATATTTTTCTGGATTATCTCAAAATGGGCGAAGGGAGGGAGAATTTGTTTGCTGTGTCCCTTTTCTGGCAGGTTCTCTTGTTATGCAACACAAAAACACAGACTAGACAGCATTAGAAGGAAATTTCAGGGCTGGAAGGGTCAACATGCAACAAAAGGAAGATGATTTTAAATACTGACCACCTCCCCAACCCCACCCCTGCCAATGATGTCCATCTTACACGTCATCAGCATGCTTTGATGGGGAGTTAACTTTAATTATCCTCAATATGGTATCATCTCCTTCCCAGCTTGGGAAAGAGTTAATTCTTTCTCAAAGACCGTAGCTGTCCTTGTCTTTCAACCTGATTCACAGATGCAATAAAATATGAAGCAAATTTATGATCTGTTTCAAGCATTTTATTGCTGTATTTTTAAATTCATATATGCACATATAAGAACTATGATCTGTGAATAATTTGAAATGCTATAGTAGAGTGATATATTTTAGATAAAACATAACCATATCTTTATATAATTATTACAGATTAAAAGAAAGAAAAAAAATAGATTTCTAATGTGGATCAACTGAAAATGTAATGACAGTCATAAACTGCTAACCAACCATAAATTAACATCTTCATCAAATGTTAAAATGGTATCAGTGGTTATATAAATTAATTATTATTTTTCCTTATAAGTTTTAGGATTAGGTCCAGGTGTATTTGAAGATCTATTATTTACAAATGTTTCTCACTCTTAAAAAAATTATTTTTACTAGGAGGACAGTTTCAGCTCAAACCTGTCACGCTAATAGAAGATAAGAATTCAGAATTCAACATAAAAATACCTCATGACCCAACCTCATTTTATACTTTTATTTAATTCTGACAACTATGGAAGTATTTGGTGCAAGAATTTCCTTATATATTCTTTGGAAAGACAACATTTTACCCCTCTCCGGGTGGTGGTGGTAATGGTGATGGAGTTAAAAATGCTAAACCATACACCGTCAAGT